GAAAGGTCAAAAGCCCAGAAACAGCTGGTCTACAGACGAGAAGGTTGAGGCCATTACATGTGGCATTGGCGCCACATCGATGGTGCTACATATGTATTCTTACCTCAACGAGCTACACCCTTGACCACATCGACGTTGATGGCTCGGTGACGACAGCTTCCCTCTATGTGCGCTGCTCGTCTCAATTTTCTTGCGCTGCCGACAAAACACTGACTTTGTGGATGGTTGCACTTGCTATGCCACCAGAAAGGATCACCTCCGAAGCACGATTGATCAATGCTGGACCAGATGGTGCCGTGTCCACTGCTAAAGTGGGACAACACATCACGCGGCGTGGACCAGGGGCATTCTTCCATGATATGGCCGGCGCAAGCTCGTACGTCGGACCTCCAACGAGCGGTTCAGAGCCGTCGTCGTGTGTGCTCGGCTCATTGCGTCGCTGGCCGATGTGCAAACAGGCTTCGTTGCCTTGACGCGCTACATACACTCGCGGGGTGGGTGGGTGCACGTGCAGCATTTCGTGGGTGGTACATCCATCTCGAGTGCGAAGAGTTGGATCGCTCCACATCGGTGCGCCACATCGGTGCGATCCGACCCGTGTCTTTTTGAAGGCTCATGGATAGGCACAAGATACGCATGACGACGGCCAGCGAGCACATCGCTGGCGTCTCTGAATTCGGTCACAAGTGCTACGGCCGTTCGTGTCTACAGAGTGGTCGCGTCACCATTTACTTCCGCGGATACAACCGCACTCGACTTCACTTTTCAATTTGCTCGGTTGTCAACACCACCACCAGCATGGCGACGCCCCAAGCCGTGTACACCCAGCACTGCGATAGCCCGGCCAAGCCAATGCGCAAGCGCACGTTCCAGATCACGCTCAAGGAAGACGCGACGGCCGGCCCGTCGTTCATCTACCCGAGCGAGCTCGGCAAGCACGAGAACCTCCACCCGAGCGACGCCGAGCTCGAAGGCATCCGCGAGAAGCTCAACAAGCCCCGGCATCTATTGAGCCAGTGGCCTGCCACGTCGATTGCCGGCAACGACATTCTCTCGAGTGTGCTCTACTCGGCCGGTCTCGTCACGCTCAAGGCCGGGCGACTTGCACCGATTGCGATGATCTTTGTTTCGTTTGTCCTCTACATGTTTCGCTTCATTTACGAAGAAGTGGTCACGGCGATTCCGCTCAACGGCGGCTCGTACAACTGCCTTTTGAACACGACCTCCAAGCGCGTCGCGTCGTTCGCGGCCGTGCTGAGTATCATGGCGTATATGGCGACGGCGGTCGTGTCGGGAACGTCGGCCTGCTACTACCTCCAGTCGGTCGTGCCCGACGTCCCGGTGGTGCCAACGACGGTCGGTGTTCTCGGTGCGTTTGCCTGCCTCACGCTGCTCGGTATCACCGAGTCATCGATCGTCGCGCTTTGTATCTTCATCTTTCACGTCACGACGCTTTCGATCCTTGGCGTCGCATGCCTCATCCACGTGGTAAGACGATCTTGGTAGAAAGTGCAATCTCATATCTTTTGGGTGTTTTTAGATTCAAAACCCCGAGGTTTTCAAGGCCAACATGCACACGCCGTTCCCAGACGTCGACTTCGTCGGTTCGCAGATCGAAGGCAGTTGGTTCACGGCGCTCTTCTTTGGCTTCTCGGCGTCGATGCTCGGTGTCACCGGCTACGAAACGTCGTCCAACTACGTCGAAGACCAGGCGCCCGGTGTCTTTCGCAAGACGATGCGCAACATGTGGGCGTTCTCGTCCTTCTACAACTTTTTCCTGGCGTGGATGGGCCTCGGTATGCTGCCGGTCTACGGCGAAGAAGGTCTAATTGCTTAGAAGGACACGGTCTTGTCCGTGATGGGGTTTCTGGCCGGCGGCTCGTGGCTGCAGTGGCTCGTCTCGATCAACGCGTTTGTTGTCTTGTCCGGTGCCGTCTTGACCTCGTATGTCGGTATGACGGGTCTCGTCCATCGTCTTGCGTCAGACCGTGTCATGCCGGCGTTCTTTGCGGCCGAAAACAAGTGGCGCGGCACGAACCACTGGATCATTCTCGGTTTCTTCCTCCTCACGGCGTCGCTCGTCATCATCTCGGACGGCAACAACGTCGTGCTCTCGGGTGTCTACACGTACTCGTTCTTGTCCATGATGTTTCTCTTTGCGATGGGCTGCATGATGCTCAAGATCAAGCGCCAAGACATTCCGCGTGACGTCCAAGCGCCGTGGTGGACCTGTATCCTCGGTGCGACCATAATTGCGATCGGGTACTTTGGCATCCTCCTCGGCGACCCGACCGTGCTCATGTACTTTGCGTACTACGCCCTTGGCGTCGGTTTTCTCGTCTACTCGATGCTGGCACGCGTGACCGTGCTTCGCTGCGTCATCTTCCTTATCAACATGGTGTGCCCGTCCCGCGCGAAGAAGGACATTCCGGCCGACGTTGCGCTCGAAGCCGATGTGGTCGTCAAGGAAGACAACATTCGGTTCTTTGAACGCGAAAACAAGCGCGTGTCGATGCTCGTCAAGACCATCAAGTCAATCAAGGAGCAGCCATTCGTCTTCTTCATCAAGAGCGCCGACCTCACCGTGCTCAACAAGGTCATCTTGTATGTCCGCAGCAACGAGATGACCGAGACGCTCCGGTTTGTCCACGTCTACCCCGAGGCGACGGATGACGCGATGGCCAACATCGAGTCGCTGAAAGAGATGATTGCGCTCTTCGATCGGATTTACCCCAAGCTCCGCACGGATTTCGTGTCGATTTGCGGCAACTTTGACGCGGCGACCGTCACGTGGCTCGCCAACGAGTACAAGATGCCGACCAACATGATGTTCATCAAGCAGCCGACGACGATGGACGCCAAGAGCGTCTCGTGCTGCGGTGTGCGTATCATTACGGGCTAAGAACTTTGCCCAATACGTCTTGTAACCTATAAGAAAGTTTCGTGTGCCCCAAGATATCGATGGATCGTAACATTACGTCTCGTCAATGCGCGTCGTGACCACGCGAGAGGTAGATACCAGGCAGACCACACGTGCATGGTTGACTCTTGCTATCCAAATGGTCTTTTGGAACGGCACGGAAGAGACATTCGTTTGAAGTTTGTACGGAATTGCAGGATTTACGGCAGCAAACCGTCAATACAAAACGATTTCATGGCATCCTTGGTCACGTAGCCACACAATGCGCTGTGTTGACACTTTGATATTTTCGTTGATCATATTCGTTGTGGGCGTTGGCGCCACGAAAGGGCCAATGTCTTCTTTCACCACAACACTCCCGCAATGAGCTTTTGGACCTCATGGTTGTCGACCCAGTAGATGGACGATAGACATTTTTTCTGGTGTGTGTTGTACTTTGGTCCTGTACGACATGCAGATACTGTCGGCAGGATAGAGCCACCTATCCGTGACCGAAATCCATCGCATGAAATCGTCATGACGTGGCAAGCGCACGTGCGTTCATGGATGTGCCATCCTGACGGCGACACACCACCCACCTTGCTCCGTTCCAGACCCATACATGTACTTGGCAAAAGCGGTGGCAGCTCAAGCCCATCACCACTGCACCGATGTGCGCGTCGTATTCAGCAGACATCCCGTGCTGTGTACGAGGAGGATGTATGGATGGAAGTCCTCCACTGAAAGACGCGATAGGGCATCTGGCTTTCGTAAATGGCAGGTCGCTTCAATATTTCGTCTCGGTCAGGTCCGGTTACACACCCCTCCACTAATTGGAGGCCCGCAACGGACGGCCGAGGAGCTTTGCGTCCGCGGAATTCAGTTGCAGCGAACTGCTCCCCGCGCCGTATGACTGCCAAGAGATGTGGCGGTGCGATGTGGCGCCTGACTCGAGATGCGAATATTCGAGCGTCGGCATCGCCGTTGACTGCATCACCTCATGCATGTAATCGTCGTGTCACTTCTGAGTGGTGGGCGTTTTCTCCAGCGTCCAATCCAAAAGCCTCCTGCTACATCAACGCTTTTGAATTGGCTGGAATCCTTGGCACGCATTCTCCTTCGTGGCGGATTCCATGGCGCGTCTTCAGGGCTCCGCATCGTGTACTTGAGGCCCTCGCAGCCAAAAGAGGTCCTGTATCCCACCCTTCAGAGCGAATGCAATAGACATAATATTGGATTTGCTACAGAATGCAATATATTTGAATCGGCGTCGAGCACGATCGAACGTTCGAGGTGCTTCGTCGTCGCAGGACCTCCTGCGCTCCCGCGCGTGGCCAAAATAAAATATATGCCGGACTTTATATTAATATACACAAACCTTGCAATAATATACGTTTTTGTATGTCATACGTATTTTATGATGAAACGAGACCAGGCGGGGTAGCTCCTCATACAAACTCCGTATACAAGGTCAAAATATTGCGCGCGCGATCTTGATAGTAGAACCGAGTGCTGCACTTGTCGAGGGCGTCGAGTTGCACTTGCCGAGGTAGATACGACCTCACTTACCTCACTTGCCCATTTGCCAGCTCCTTCTCAAGCGCGACCATGGACAGCACCGAGTACGCAGCGCTGGCGAGCCCCGCGGCCGCGCCGCCGACGACGACGCGGAAGCGCGTCTTCCAGATCACGGTCGCCGAGAGCATGGCAACCGGCCCGTCCTTCATCTACCAAGACGAGCTCGGGAAGCATGAGAACATCACGCCGCCGGCCGACGAGCTCGCTGCGATCCGCGACGACCTCGAGAAGCCCAAGCACCTCCTCGGCGAGTGGCCCTCGACGGCGATCTGCGGCAACGACATCATGTCCAGCGTCATGTACTCGTCCGGCATCGTCTCGTTGAAGGCCGGGAAGCTCGCGCCCATCTGCATGGGCATGATCTCGCTCA